TTTCCCCCCTTTGCCAAGGGGGGGGGGGGGGGTATATCCCCACTGAGATGCCAGACACCAGTAAAAACTCTATAGGGCAAATAGGCCCAGGTATAAGGTGTGCCATGTGGGTGGGCCTGACCTAATGGTGGGTCAGAGACCCTGGGCCAATGGGTGGGCCTGACCTAATGGCGGGCCAGAGACACTGGGCCCAGGTATGTGGTGTGCACTAAAAACTCTATAGGGCAATTACTTCTGCCACACTATGAGTTTTGCTTAGGGCAAAGCAACAAGTTTGCTTTATTCTCCCTTCCCTACTGCCACAGCAACACCAATTCATCCATTCACTTTACTCCCCTACTGTCCCATACAGCTGCCAAAAGCATAAAACAATACCGGACATATCTGGGTATGAGGGAACACGTGACAGTGCTGGGCCAATTATCGGGATCCGGCACATGGGGAGAGTCCATAGCTCTGAGTAAGCTACAGGTTGTGTTTCTTGCACCTTATGTCAAGCGGCTGCTGAACGGGGAGCAAAGAAAAGGAAAGTATCTGCTGCCGGAGAGAGGAAGAGTAACATAAACCTGCTTAAGCTTTCACCTGCATGGGCACAGCACAGGTTCTCTTTAAGATTTATTGTTTATAAGATCTTTTATTTGCGTTCGTGAAACTCTCACCTTACTGACGGAAGGAAGTGAGGACACCCAGCTCTCTCGCTCTGACGACCTGGGGAATCCGACGGCTCTCCTCAGGTATCGCTCATGTATCTCACAAGTATTTAGGAGATAGAGGGCGCACGATACGGCGTAACCTCCCCAGTTAGACACGCCTAGGAGACAAAACAGTCCGATCAATATTATCCTTCCCTGCAAAATAATATAATGACACAACACTGACGGCTTGTTCTCACTATGCTGCTCTGCTACAATGCATGCACCACAACATGCTATATCATGCATTGGGTGGATTGTGGTACGGAAGCCCATTCATTTTCAACAGATCCCAAATCAACAAAAGTAGCACCTGCAGCATCTTGCTTTGGGGTGCGCTGCAGTTTGCTGTTAGTGCAAGTGCATTGGGGTGCCAATGAAAATGAATGGCGCAGGAGTGAGCTGCGGTAAATGGCATCTGGAGCATCATGTGTTGCGGTGCGCTGCAGTTTTGGTAGTGCAGGTGCGTTGGGGTGCCATTCAAAATGAATGGCACAGGAGTGAGCTGCGGTAAATGGCATCTGGAGCATCATGCTTTGGGGTGCACTGCAGTTTTGGGAGTGCAGGTGCCTTGGGGTGCCATTCAAAGTAAATGGCAAAACAGCGAGCTGCAGTAAATCGCACGGCGCGGCGCGCACTAGGTGTGGATGGGCCCCAAAAAGGTAAGATTTGTAATAATAAAATCACTGCATCTCTCCTGAGGTTTGTGTGACCTGCAACAAGGTAAACTCTGCATGGCTGAACATTAGAAGCAGGTGAGGATGTTAGCAGACATTACGTTCCGCACAGATTGGGCTTCCTGTGAGCGCAGATTACAACAGACAGTCGTACACAGCACACTGCTGGACAGCACAGAAACTATATTGCATTTGAAGCAACTACACATCTGACTGAGAGACTTGCAGTACCACGGGGAATGCATAATCATTGTGCAGGAGGAGGAAGTCGTATGTAATGAGGAAGCATGCCTGCCGGCTGCCGCTATGTACATACAGATTTATAAACAATATACAGGAAATGGATACAAGTAAAACAATCACATTCTCACAACTTCACAAGGGATTTAGAAACGTACCAGCGATGACGGTAAAGTCAGCAGCCACGTCACAGGCGATGGTGTCACCGTTTGGGATATGCTTTCTCACCAGTTCTTTCACCTTGCCGGTACCGAGTTCATTCCCTCCGTCGCCGATCCCTGACAAGTAAATATTGACATCAGACGACTGCCGGGAGGTCACAGAACCCGCAGCGCCAGGAAGAGGGATGGGGGTTGGAGGAATATCGGCATACGTACCGGTTGTGGATATACCGCGGATATTCTGCGCAGCCTCAAATAAATCATCGATGGGATCCACCAAATGTTTGATGTTTATTTTCCTGGCATTGTAATAATTCCCGTCACTGGCCCGGCCAGCTCGTTCTATGGCTACTAAGTGGTCAAACCTGAGAAGGAAATCATTTGTATTTATAACAATCACTTTCCTTCCCTTCAGTCTTATATCTGACCTCCGTCCTTCCCTTCAGTCTTCTTTCTGACCTCCGTCCTTCCCTTCAGTCTTCTATCTGACCTCCGTCCTTCCCTTCAGTCTCCTATCTGACCTCCGTCCTCCCCTTCAGTCTCCTATCTGACCTCCGTCCTCCCCTTCAGTCTTCTATTTGACCTCCGTCCTTCCCTTCAGTCTTCTATCTGACCTCCGTCCTCCCCTTCAGTCTTCTATCTGACCTCCGTCCTTCCCTTCAGTCTTATATCTGACCTCCGTCCTTCCCTTCAGTCTCCTATCTGACCTCCGTCCTTCCCTTCAGTCTTCTATCTGACCTCCGTCCTCCCCTTCAGTCTTCTATTTGACCTCCGTCCTCCCCTTCAGTCTTCTATTTGACCTCCGTCCTCCCCTTCAGTCTCCTATCTGACCTCCGTCCTTCCATTTAGTCTTCTATCTGACCTCCGTCCTCCCCTTCAGTCTCCTATCTGACCTCTGTCCTTCCCTTCAGTCTCCTATCTGACCTCCGTCCTCCCCTTCAGTCTTATATCTGACCTCCGTCCTCCCCTTCAGTCTTCTATCTGACCTCCATCCTTCCCTTCAGTCTTCTATCTGACCTCCATCCTTCCCTTCAGTCTTCTATCTGACCTCCGTCCTTCCCTTCAGTCTTCTATCTGACCTCCATCCTTCCCTTCAGTCTTATATCTGCATGCTAGTTACAGGTCATTAAGCTGGCCATATACCGCTCGAATTTTGGGTGAATGCTGCTGATCTACCAATATCAAGAACTGGACCCCCCAAGCTTTGGGTCTAAACATTGAACCTCCCAGTCACCCTCCCCTACACCAACCTCCAGGGCCCTCATTGGCCAGTACTTCTAACCTGGGCGTGGCCGGGTCTCCGCTCTCGCACAAGAATTTCAATGCAGCGTCCTCTTTGTAAGATAACAAAGGCACGGGTGTTTTCAGCACTCCTGTTCAGGTATAAATAAAGATGAAGAGCTTAATTGCGACCAACATCTGGTCTACACAGATCTGGTCAGTTCACAGGTTTAGCCTAACTGGATTAAAGCCGAACTCCGGGCACCAAAGATGTATTATAAATATATTCCTCAATCGCCACTAAGGATATAAAACCACTGTGTGTGCACAAAATACCCTTTGCAAACCCAAATATTATATTGTAAAGTAGTAGTGAGATCATCACTGTGCTGTACATAGCCTGCGCAGAGAGCAGAGCTGTAGGAGGGACCCAGCAGACTCCACCCACTACAGGAACCTACATGAGGGGGCGGAGATGAGACCAGTCACCCTGCACAAGGAGAGAGAGCAGCAGTTAGCAGTCTTTATTACAGGAGGGGGCGGAGACAAGACCAGTCACCCTGCACAAGGAGAGAGAGCAGCAGTGAGCGGTCTTTATTACAGGAGGGGCGGAAACAAGACCAGTAGATGCTTAAGGTGCCCCGCAGACTCCAGACTGGTGTCAGATATACCATCACTCTCTGACCACCCTTGGGCCCCTTTATTTGCCACCGGGGCAAGTTGACTTCCAGTAGGTTAAAAAAAAAGTCCTCTTGGGGCATCTATTGATATTCAGCCTACAGAGAGAGCAACAGTGATCAGTCTTTATTACAGGAGGGGGCGGAGACAAGACCAGTCACCTTGCACAAGGAGAGAGAGCAGCAGTGACCAGTCTTTATTACCGGAGGGGGCAGAGACAAGACCAGTCACCCTGCACAAGGAGAGAGAGCAGCAGTGAGCGCTCTTTATTACAGGAAGCTCCCAAGTCTCACACGGGATTGCTGCACAGATCTGGTAGAAATACACAAATCTCACCGAGATTCAGGAAGAATACACATAACTCTTGTATGAGGACAATGTCTGCTGCTCCTGGAGTTCAGCTTTAATGCTAAAGAACTGGGTTGTGCCCACCATTTGGTATTCACAGATCAGGCCAATTCACTGCGAATACGGGGTTTTGCCAAACTGATTTGAAGACCAAAACTAAATCATATAAGCGACCGGAGATCATCATGAGAAAAGCATAAAAAACAAACCTTGCTCTACTGCTTTCTCTAGGATGCTCCTGTTCATTTCAATGGCACGATCATCTGTCACTATGGCGACCTTCTTCCCCAGAGCCTGCAGCATGGCCGCCATGGCGACTGCCCCCGGTGGTCCATCGGTTTCCTCTGGAGGTTGGTGCTGGAAGTGGGTGGGGAAGCCTGTGGTTATCAGGACGGATTTGGCATGAGATAAAGACAAACAAGACTTCAGCAGCTCGTCCTGGACCAGAAGGTTCTTTATTCCCCGGTCACCTGTAACACATTAAAATATTGAGGTTAATAAGGGTAAAATCAGGGATATACTGTGACCTGTGACCTGAGATATACTGTGACCAGATCAGATAATGCAATGCATTGCAACCACCATCAGTGGATGATGGGTGCAGTGCTCAGGCTCCAGCAGACTCTCCCTCCCAGCCCATGGCCGCACCGAGGTACGGACCTTTAGCTAAGGGACAGAAGGTATGAATGGACTACCAGTGCGGTGACATCATTGCACCCAGGGCTGTCCCTATAATGTGGCGGCCTGAGGTTGTTGTGTCAGACGGCATCTCTTTGGGTCACCTGGGGGGACGGCAGGCAGAGCAGCATGGCGTTCTACTGTACAATGCTTGCAGTGCCCCTGCCACCCCCTTTTCAGCCAGAGTGTCCCAGGTTGCCAAGAGCCAGGCGGGGAGATGTGAAAGAGCCATACACATCCTCTTGCTGGCATCCTGACGACCTCCTGGCAACCACTGATGTCACTGGTTGCCAGGAGCTCGGTGGGATGCCGGCCAGAGCGTCCCAGGTTGCTAAGCGCAGGCCAGGGAGATGCAGAGCACTTACACATCTTCACGCACGGCTCTTAGGGGTGTCACACTCCACCAGCAACTCCTCTCCACTGATTGCATGCACCACCCAGCACCCCCCAGGTGGCAAAAAAGGCTAGGGACACCCCTGACTGCACCTGTACTCCATTGAGAAGTCCCTCTGCTGCGATGGCTGATGGGACTTGTAATCTCTCCATTCATAGTTCCTGTCAAAGTCTCTGTGAATGGATGAGGTGGCTGTGCATGGCTCTGCAAATTAAAAATATGACAGGGAAAACAGGAGGGAGGTGGGGATATGACCATGTTTCATTTTACACCCTGAACATGGGTGTAACATGTAACATGATAAAGTAACTCAGCCTTTAAAAACATAATGCTACTTTGTGACATTTGTACACATTATTTATCGGGATTGGTTAAAGAACTGCTCATCACTTTCCTGCACTCTGACAGTTTTCGCTCCATCTTTCCTGATAATTCTACTGTGTGTATGGCCGACATGTCTATGCATACCAGTCCTCAATGTCCTCAATGTGGCGTTCACCTGGATCAACTCCAATGATCTTCTCCAGCGCTCTGATTTTCTCTGCCGCCCGCTGCGAGACCAGGCTGTAGTGTAGAGGGTCAGAGGAGATCTGAATGACCCGAGGGGTCTGACCCGAGTCGGACTCTGGTGCGTCCTCGTTCTTTAGGTCCGTGATGAACATGCAGCCGGGAGAATGTGTGAACGCCAGGGGAGACTCTGCGATAGAAGGAGAACGTCAAGATGTACAGGTTGGATAGTTACGATGGAAACAAACTGTCATATACGGTTAGGTAATTGGTTGGGCGTGATAAGGTGCCATTATCATATTCAAGATAATTGCAAGATAAAAGTTCCCTTTGCCCAAATTACTAGCAAAGATTAGACCAGGGGTAGGCAACCTTGACGCTCTAGTAGTAAATCTACAAAATGCCTCTGGGAGTCATGCCTGTGGCTGTCTTGCAATGCCACATGGGACTTGTAGTTCTACAACAGCAGGAGTGCCGAGGTTGCTTACATATGGGTTAGACCAGGGGTAGGCAATCTTGGCACTCCAGCTGTTTTGGAACTACAAGTCCCATGAGGCATTGCAAAACTCTGACAGCCACAGGCATGACTCCCCGGGCCACACTACAGCTGGAGGGCCGAGTCTACCTACATATGGGTTAGACAGACAGATCAGATAAGAGATGGAGAGATACAGATAGACAAGCAGGATGATACCTGTCCGTCCTTGTACAGGTTGCAGGGGTGAAGCTACGCCAATTATTACATCACAGTACCTTCAGGCTCCTCCACATAAGAGGGAAGGATCAGCCTTGCTGGAAAACCTCCATGTATGGTAATGCTGACCATCTCTCCATTAACACAATCACATCTCCTGAACCACCGCAATACTGAGAGCAGGCACAGGGCCGGCCTTAGGGGTGTGCGACCAGTGCGGCCGCACAGGGCGCCATGGCAACAAGGGCGCCGTGCGGCCGACACAGCAAGGCAGATACAAAGTGTCCCTGAGCCACCGCAATACTGAGAGCAGGCAGATACAAAGTATCACTGAGCACCACCACAATACTGAGAGCAGGCAGATACAAAGTGTCACTGAGCCACTGCAATACTGAGAGCAGGCAGATACGAAGTGTCACTGAGCCACTGCAATACTGAGAGCAGGCAGATACGAAGTGTCACTGAGCCACTGCAATACTGAGAGCAGGCAGATACGAAGTGTCACTGAGCCACTGCAATACTGAGAGCAGGCAGATACGAAGTGTCACTGAGCCACTGCAATACTGAGAGCAGGCAGATACGAAGTGTCACTGAGCCACTGCAATACTGAGAGCAGGCAGATACGAAGTGTCACTGAGCCACTGCAATACTGAGAGCAGGCAGATACGAAGTGTCACTGAGCCACTGCAATACTGAGAGCAGGCAGATACGAAGTGTCACTGAGCCACTGCAATACTGAGAGCAGGCAGATACGAAGTGTCACTGAGCCACTGCAATACTGAGAGCAGGCAGATACGAAGTGTCACTGAGCCACTGCAATACTGAGAGCAGGCAGATACGAAGTGTCACTGAGCCACTGCAATACTGAGAGCAGGCAGATACGAAGTGTCACTGAGCCACTGCAATACTGAGAGCAGGCAGATACGAAGTGTCACTGAGCCACTGCAATACTGAGAGCAGGCAGATACGAAGTGTCACTGAGCCACTGCAATACTGAGAGCAGGCAGATACGAAGTGTCACTGAGCCACTGCAATACTGAGAGCAGGCAGATACGAAGTGTCACTGAGCCACTGCAATACTGAGAGCAGGCAGATACGAAGTGTCACTGAGCCACTGCAATACTGAGAGCAGGCAGATACGAAGTGTCACTGAGCCACTGCAATACTGAGAGCAGGCAGATACGAAGTGTCACTGAGCCACTGCAATACTGAGAGCAGGCAGATACGAAGTGTCACTGAGCCACTGCAATACTGAGAGCAGGCAGATACGAAGTGTCACTGAGCCACTGCAATACTGAGAGCAGGCAGATACGAAGTGTCACTGAGCCACTGCAATACTGAGAGCAGGCAGATACGAAGTGTCACTGAGCCACTGCAATACTGAGAGCAGGCAGATACGAAGTGTCACTGAGCCACTGCAATACTGAGAGCAGGCAGATACGAAGTGTCACTGAGCCACTGCAATACTGAGAGCAGGCAGATACGAAGTGTCACTGAGCCACTGCAATACTGAGAGCAGGCAGATACGAAGTGTCACTGAGCCACTGCAATACTGAGAGCAGGCAGATACGAAGTGTCACTGAGCCACTGCAATACTGAGAGCAGGCAGATACGAAGTGTCACTGAGCCACTGCAATACTGAGAGCAGGCAGATACGAAGTGTCACTGAGCCACTGCAATACTGAGAGCAGGCAGATACGAAGTGTCACTGAGCCACTGCAATACTGAGAGCAGGCAGATACGAAGTGTCACTGAGCCACTGCAATACTGAGAGCAGGCAGATACGAAGTGTCACTGAGCCACTGCAATACTGAGAGCAGGCAGATACAAAGTACCACTGAGCCACCGCAATACTGAGAGCAGACAAGAGACTGACAGGTCCAGTGACGGGACAATGCAACCTGCAGTCATACGGAGAAGAGGACAGGAGCTCAACTGCACTCTAAAGCTTTCCACACGTGTTACAATCTGATTGTGCAATCTTCCTTAGAACTACCAACAACTATGTACTGTAGCGCAAGGGCCTGCCTGACTAGATACAAATTGATTGGATAGTGTAGCTAGTTCCTCATATTGCATAGTTTCCCATCTATAAATCCACTGAGTCTATTACCTAAGCCGTACTTTTGTGGGGAAACAAATACTTCTGGAAGACATTTCTATTGGTACAAATTAGCTGGGGAGATAAGTCAACTGTCAATAACATGGCTACATAAGGAGGCAAATTCCATAGATGTGAGTATAGCACGATACGTACTGCAGCTTATGACGGCTTCAACGCCAGTGACACCACAAGCCCAGAAGACGGGGACGTCCCCCGGCTGAGCCTCTACTGGGTCGCCATAATCTGTTTTCTGAAGATCCTTTATACCTAGAAAATCTAGAAACAAACACACACAAGAACAGATTAGGACATTCCAAACCGTATTATTATTATTATTATTATATTTATAATACCATAAAACAAGTCTATTACGCCAACCACGGGCAGGTAAGCAGCTGCAATGTAAGTTACATAATTCCCATGACTAACGAGTAAAGAGATTTTTTATATACTCAGTAAATGAATTGGTAATAGCTACCAGAGCATAAGATACTTGAAGCCCAATTGAACCTTCAGTTTAAATCAGGTAAATACATTTCAGGTGCATCAATAAACAAAAGGTGTCCAATGTCTTACAGTTTGTATATAAATTAACAAGTATAAAATAAAAAAAAAAAAAAGTTAAAATG